AAAATCCATGAGTGAGGACATGCCATATTTGTCTTTTGTAACTGAGTTACCATACTCGGGATGGCTTCTCGTGCCATCCATTTGCCTTCAAATTTCAAGATTCCATTTTTTTTAACGGCTGAATAGTACTCCATTGTGTAAATGTACCATATTTTCTCTATCCACTCTTCAGTTGAGGGGCATCTAGGTTGCTTCCAAGTTCTGGCTATTACAAATAATGTTGCTATTATTACAGAGGAACAGACGTCCTTGTATAAATGTGTATGTTTTGGGTATATGCCTAAGAGTGTAATTGCTGGGTTTTGTGGGAGACTGATTCCCATTTTCATGAGGACTCTCCCTACTGATTTCCAAAGTGGCTGTATGAGTTGGCACTCCCACCAACAGTGGAGCAATGTTCCCCTTTCTCCATAACCTCTCCAGCATAAAATTGTTGTTTTTTATTTTATCCATTCTGACAGAAGTAAGATGGCATCTCAGAGTTGTTTTGATTTGCATTTCCCTGATGGCTTGGGATGTTGAGCACTTTCTCAAGTGCCTCTCAGCCATTTTAGACTACTCCATTGAGAATTCTCTATTTAGTTCTGTAGCCCACTTTTTAATTAGATCCTTTGGTGTTTTGGAGACTTGCTTCTTGATGTCTTTGTAAATTTTGGAGATTAGTCAACTGTCAAATGTGGGGCTAGTGAATATCTTTTCCCATTCTGTTGGATGCCTTTTTGTCTTGTTGACTGTGTCCTTTGACTTACAGAAGTTTCTCAGTTTCAGGAGGTACCATTTATTAATTGTTGATCTCACTGTCTGTGCTACTGATGCTATGTTCAGCAAATAATCTCCTGTGCCAATTCATTCAAGGGTACCTCCCTCTTTCTCTTCTAAGAGGTTCAGGGTGGATGGATTTATGTTGAGGTCTTTGATGCATTTGGGCTTGAGTTTTATGCATGGCTTAGACATGGATCTATCTGCAATCTTCTACATGCCAGCATCCAGTTTTGCCAGCACATTTGTTGAAGATGCTTTCTTTTTTTCCATTGTTTAATTTTATCTTCTTTGTCGAAGATCAGGTGTTCATACGAGTATGGGTTAATATCGGGGTGTTCATTTTGATTACATTGGTCTACCTGTCTATTTTTGTGCCAATACCAAGATCTTTCCATGACTATAGCTCTATAATAGAGTTTGAAGTCAGGGATGGTGATGCCTCCAGATGTTGCTTTATTGAACAGGGTTGTTTTGGCTGTCCTGGGTCTTTGTTTTTACATATAAGGTCCCAGCAAAATTTTTCACAGAACTTGAAAGAGCAATAGTTGTTCCTGCGATTAATCTCCACACTTGGGATGCTGAGGTAGGTTACTCTGTAAATCAAGGCCATTCTCGGCTACATAGCAAGTTCAAGACCAGCTTGAGCTACATACAGCTTAGCTTCAAACTGGAAAAAAGCACAATAGCAAACCATTTAAGTAAAGCAAACCAAAATTAAGTATTATCACAATATTGTGCAAAATACATGGAAAGATAAAACCACACTTTATGTATGGGGGAAATACTCAGTGCACAACATTTATTTATCATGCTCAACTCCCTTCTAACTTTGGGTTCAGTACACAGCATTGCCAAAACAAAGCTAAACACATCAAGGACTTCTCAGTCATGAGTGTCTTCCCATAGCTCATACAAATGACTCAGTTTAGCTTTTGTGAGCAATCATAGTGTTCACACTACGTGCACATTAAGTTGTGCTGCATTTGATTTGGATGTCAAAAGTCTGGTTTGTTGCCATCTGTTTAGTTACCTGTGTAGAAAACAATATTTTACTTTTTCATTAATGGTCTCTTATGTATGTGTTAATTTGCTGTTATGTTTATCTCACTCTTATGTAGATGGATGCATATGAAGCACAAAATGTTAAAAGTTATCATATTACTTGAATTAGGAAGTTCCCATTGGATTGATGAATTGGTCCAGTGTGTAAAGTAATTTGTGACAAGCTGAAAGGAGGACTAAATTCAGTCTCCCAACTCCCCATGATGAAAGAATAGAACAGATTCATGATCTGGCCTCTGACCAGAGCACATGCACTGTGACCACAGAAATGCTATTCATATCAGTACATTATACATAAATGAAAAGCAATAACAAAATAATAATAATTAATAGTAACAATTTGATGCTGTTTCTTGTTCAGACACGACTATACACACTTTCTAGTAGGAGATGGGTGGTTTGAGTGAAAGGGAGTTAGATGAGAAGAATAAAAATAACAGGAGAAACCCAATGCTTTTCCAAACAGTATCATTTGTGTGCATCAGCTGCCATTGTGAAATGATGAGTTAGCCAGTTCAGGGAAAGTTTAAAAAGCTGCTTCTCAAAGTTATCCTTCTTCATGCCCCAGAGAATCATGCCACCATCAATAGCCTGGCAAGTCACTGAGTGAATTAAACCCAGTTAATTATTGATCATGCCACTTAAAAAAAACTTTGAAACTTTGTGCTTAAAAAGAAAGCAGCACATAATCTCTGAGATTTAAAAACATAAAGACATGAATTAAAAGGGCATTGTAAAGTGCAAGTGTTTTTTTTTGTTTAATTGTCTGCTCTAGGCAAAATGCAAAGTCATAGATCTTATCTTTTTATGATCTAATTACATCTTTCCTTCCCTTCGGCAATGAATGCAGCTCTTAGGGAACTGCCCTCTGCCAACACCCCCCACAACACTTCAGGAATGACATTTCCTAACCTGTAGCAGGTAACCCCGGACTTACACATACTATGTTGTATTTCATGTCAGTGTAGCCGGAAAGTTAATCCTAAAATGACTCCCAGAAAAGGTAATGATAGGGAATAATCTAGATATGATTCTGGGTTTTTTTGTTCTGTAATCATTAAAACATCACACACACATCTTCAACTTCATGCTGGTCCCTACTTGTCTTTTTAAACAGTGCTGCCTCAAATAGATCCATATCATCCAGATTTTATAGTGTATACCTGGAAGGGGAGTTGTTTTATTGATTTATGCAAGCATTTCTTTAACAGCCTTCAAAACTGCTATCTAATTTCTATCACTATGTGGTAAATGAACCATTTGGTAAAGTGTTTAAATAACTGGCAGTGAGTAAATGCTGCCTTATTCTAAAATTACAACTTTCACCTCCTGCCTCTGTACCATTGCTGGTGCAAAACAAAAGATCAAAGTAACATGATAAATCTTCAGAAACAGAATAAAGGCTGGGAATACATAAAACTCCCTTCTTAACCAGATGCCATGGTTAAATTTTTTTTTGTCGTGATCACAAATGATTTTACACTTTTTTCCATTGGCTTTTCTCCTATTACTTTGTCTCCATCGTTTAAAACCATTACTATATTTTCTTTCTGAATCCATCCTTCTGAGTTAGTTGTTCTAGTACTGCCATGTCCGGTACAAACCACAACTGCCCAATTTTTCCTTATGTATTTAAGATTTATTCATTTTTGTTTTATGTGTGTGTGTGTGTGTTTCTGCATTTCTGTATGTGCTGTGTGTGTGCAATTTCCTATGGCAGTGAGAAGAGGGTGTCAGACCACCTGGAGCTGGAGTTACAGGGGGTTATTGATGTCTGTGGAAATGTAGAGACAGAGAGACATGGAATTCTGACCTTCAAGAAGTGGCACAGGATATATTAGTACAGAAAACAAAAGGCGCCTCTCTCCCACAGAAATTGTTGCAGCCTTAAGTTTATGTGTCTCTCCTGCAGAAAATTGTTTGCCAAAAACAGGAGAAACTATCTTTTCTGGGATGAAGGAGTTGAGGAAGAGAAAGGCAATCTGAAATCTTTGTCTGAATCTTGTTTTATACTGAGGCACTTTATCAGTGTGAGTCATGAAATGTGGGTTCTGGGAACATTCTCTGTCATCAGGACCTCCCATTGCCCAAGAGTGACCATGCTTTATTGGTGAGATCCCTGGCAAGTAAGGAATGGGAAAATTGGGCTTTTCCTAAATTCTTACTTTTCAATTGATCATCATTTGCCTGCCTTGAGTACAGGATAAGTGTTTAGAGTGTATGTGAAAAATTCTATGGATCTGTGGGGTAATGAATCATGCAGCCATGCTTGAGAAAGTGTTTCCACCTAGGCATGGTATTTTGCAGTTCTAATTCCAGAACTTGGTAGTCCACGACTGGCTGGGGCCTACTCTGAACTTAAGGGTAGCCTTATTGAATTCCTGGCTGGTTTTGGCTATACTGTGACATTACCACTCTTAAATTAAAGAAAAGTTGCTTCCAACAATTTTGCAGAGATAGATTCACTTACAGTAAGTAACGTAATTTAATCTATGATGACCTGAATGAATATTCTAAATTGTTCTTTATAAGAATTGCCATATGCTAGAAAATCAATTATAAAACAATACTAAAAATATTAAAAATGTAAAGAATATTTTAGGTATAAGCATGTGCAAAAATAAGAATGTAAGTCTTCAATAGTTTGCTGGAAGAAAATGTGGTTGAGGAAAGAGCCAGCATGAAGTAATCTGTTTGTAAGACTTTCATTTTCTAGAAGTAAAGGGACTCCACGGTGGGAATGCAGATGTAGGAAGCATACATGAGTCCAGTGTTTTACTTGGTGTACTCTGGACAGTTTGAATAGTAGACAGTAAGACCTCCAGGGGCTGGGCTATGTGTTCACCTCAGAGTAAGAGAGTTTTCGTGTTCTGTGATAAATTTTGTCTTTCCCATTCTGCATATATTCATTCTCTGGGCCTCACTGAATACAACTGTAGAGCTTTCTGTACTACGCTTTAACTAGCTGCAAAAGTATAATTTCAAGAAGTTTTAAAATCACTCTTTTCCCACAATTTCTGTATGTGTTTTTCATTTTTTAAGTCAACTGTTCAAGCCTTTTAAATAAATCTTTCTATATTTACTTATTTTAGATAATTAATGCATTCTCAAAACAAAGAAAATGAAGGATTGTCTTTTAATCATATGCTAATACTTTTCATTTTTATACCCAATAGACAGAATGTGCAAATTTCATCCGAGTTCTTCAACCCTATAATAAGACTCATGCTTATGTGTGTGGAACTGGAGCATTTCATCCACTATGTGGATATATTGATCTTGGAGCCAACAAGGAGGTAATGAAACATTAGAAAATACAATTTACTATAATACCTATACCACAAAATGTACAAGTTTGAGTAAACATATCTTATGAGTTATATAAGAATTCATGTTTCTAAACATTTCATAGAGTACACATTAATACATTTTACTTATCAAATAAGAGTTTTCTAGTAAAACCACTTCTAAATGGAGACATAAAATTTACCATGTAAACTATTATAAACAACTGTTTTTATGGACTCTGCATATGCCTTCATTATTCTTTTAATGATATTTGTATATACACTCATTGACATATATGTTTACAATTTATAATGCTTTATAAACACATTTTACATATTTGATCTTAAAATGACATTATATATTATTAATAATTTCATTTTGTTCTTGATATGTGTTAACTGATATATGTGTTAACAACAGTGAACTGTAGCTAACTACAACTTCTATTGTCTCCTTGACATTATGTACATACTCACACTGAAATAATTGGTTTCTCTGAGTTAAACTCATGGGATAGATGTAAATGGTGTATTAGTAAAGATTAACTTATTACAGATGTCAATGAGCATTTCTAATAAAGGAGGAACATGCAGATTTCAGAATTTTTTTCTGATTTTTTCAGGTTACTTATTTTATTAAAATGGCAGCATGCATATATTCTTTCTTTACTTGTCTTTTTTTTTCTTTTTTATTGAAACTAAAACCAAGCTTGTTTTACATGTCAATCCCAGTTCCCTTTCCCTTCCCTCCTCCCTTGCCCCCTACTGACCCCCTATCCCATCCCCTTTCTGCTCCCCAGGGAGGGTGAGGGCTTCTATTGTGGATGTCCCAAGTCTGTCACATCATTTAGAGCAGGGCCTAGGTCCTCTCCAGTGTGTCTAGATTGAAAGAGTATCCCTCTATGTGGAATTGGATCCCAAAGTCCATTCCTATACTAGGAATAAATACTGATCCACTACCAGAGCACAGGAGTCAATACCAGGCTAGAGAAACCCATGGAATCAGCTATCCTGAACAATAGGGAGCTCATGGACCCCAGACTGATAACTGGGAAGCCAGCATAGGACTGATCCATACTCACTGCATGTGGGTGTTCATTAGGAGGCCTAGGCAAACTATGGGGCATCTGGTAGTGGATTAGATTTCAGAATTTTAATTAAAATGAAATTTCCAAGTTCTCTGTGTCATAGATTGCTATGCACATTGCATGCATTTTGGCTTTGAAATTTCACAAACACTGAGGTTACTACCACTATAATCCATAATAAATAGGGTAGTAAAAATAATTTTGTTGGTGTATCATAAACAATGAAGTAATGAGCTCAACCAAGCAGTGTCTGTCCAAAACCAGCATGACCAGATGAGCTTTAGCTGTGTACCCTATATACTGGTTCTTTGCAAGCATTGTCCTCATGTTTATGCATGTATTTCCTGTGTAGAACCATACATATTTGCAGTCTTTTCCTGGGCTTATGAAAAGGTTTTTATGCTAATTTAATGGATGCATGTGGAGATCAGACCTTAGACTGTGGCCAGACAGAATTTCCTCTCTGCCAGACTCATCTAACCAACCTTGACTCAACTGCTTAAAAATAATGCAACCCCGATAGATAAATTCTGAACAGCTCAGAGATTTGGCAACTGAATCCATCATTCTTTGTTGCTGATGTAATGCTGTCCTGCCTGGCTATGATGAATGGCAATATATAACAGTAGCACAAGGTATAATTACTTGAGCACCCCACAGCTTGCGTATGTATTTAGGCCTGAGGCTAAAAGCCAAATTCACAACCTGCCCAGGAAGCAAACAGTATCCTCTAACTCTTAAAGTCAAGCTCCCTAAAAGGGAATTTCGATGTAGCTAATTACTTAGCTTGGGACTTGTCAAGAAGGTCAGGACGTCAAATTTACAAGTTTTTGTAATAAGGGAATTATGGGAGCACAGGGATAGTGAGACTTGACACTTTCAGCTGATCTGGCTCTGTGGTTTTAGTATAGCAATGCTAATTTGAAGACATTTTTTATTTCTAGAAGTTTACAGGCCCTTTCAGATTCAAATAGATAAAATTACTTGGAAAGAGAATGAGAAGAGGGAACAGTGTATGCAAAGGGGTGGAGCAAGCCACCTACTGTAGTCAGCCAGGCAGTGTGTTTGTCCCAATGAGAGCATTAAGTGGGAAAACAAATACTCTTTTTTTATTTTAATTTTAAATAGCTTGTTTTACATATCAATCCCAGTTCCCTCTCCCTCCCCTCCTCCAGCACCTCCCCATCATCCCCCCCAGCCTTAACGATATGCCTCATGCCCAGCAGTAGATGCCAACAGAAAATGAACTCAACAGTTGAAGTTTCTTGTCTCATAATGTCATGTCAGGGCTTTTCTTAAAAATAAAAGCTATTCGAGTCCAGCCTGGTCTACAGAGCAAGTTCCAGGACAGCCTCCAAACAACAGAGAGAAAACCTGTCCTGAAAAACCAAAAAATAAATAAATAAATAATAATAAACATAAAGTAAAATAAAAGCTATGATTTTTATTTTAATATAAATTATATATGTGCATACATATGATATCATAATATATATAGTACATAAAATTACATTGATGTTCTATAACTTTCAGAATGTTTGAATCTAATAACTGCTTTTGCCAAGCATGTTGGTGTACACATATAATTCCAGTAGTTGGGGGGTAGAAGTAGTAGAGTCAGAGGACATGGCATCAAAGAGTCAGTGTGGACGAGATAAGACCAGCTTCGATTTTAAACCAAGGAAAGAAAGAAAGAAAAAGAATTGGAAATAGAGTTGCCCTTCTAGGGCTGAACAGCTCAGTATTCAAGTGGGGCATAAGTTGATAGTCACTGTGTTTCACATGGTAATTAATTAAACTTTTCCTTCAAACCTCTTATCAGTTTTCTTCCCTCACAGTTTTTTTTATCTTTTATTACATTTTAAGGTGTGTGTGTGTGTGTGTGTGTGTGTGTGTGCGCGCACTTGCTCGCACACATGTGTGCTTGTGCATGCGTGAGTGCACATGCACCATTTTTGTGCTATGGAGCATGTGTGGAGGTCAAATATCAGCTTTAAGGGAAAGGACTGTGTCTTTCCATAATGGTAGAACTGAGGATGGCACTCCTGTCAGCTTTGCAACATTTGTGACACTGAGCCATCTTGACCACTGAGTCACCTAACAGCACATAACAACATTTCTACATGTGCAGTTCAAAGAGGTACATTTTAGGAATTAATTAAACTAAAGGGATTATGTGAAGTGTATCCTACAAAATGCAGTTTAGAAACTTAGAGTCTCATGTGAACCATGCTGTCTTGGGAAACACATTAAATCATCAGTTAATTTCATTTACTTTCCCTGGAGCTGATTGGGAAGGGAAAAACTTGCGCTCTTGCTGTGTCCTTCTCCAAGATTTTACAGGAAAATTTCTTGTCTGCAATTCCCATAAATGCAAAGACTGGGGCTTCTCTTTGCAATTTCATAGTGTTGTATTTAAAAAGAAAAGTCTATGCAATTGTCAGTTTATCTAGTAATATTTTTCTAGGGATCCACGCATGGGCGCACGAGCACACACACACACACACACACACACACACACACGCAAACAAACACACACATGGGGTCAAAATTCTGTTTCCCTTTCCAGTATCCCATTTGATGCCTTAGAGTCCACAGGTTTGTTTAGCCAGTAGCAAATAGTATGCTGTTAGTGGTTGGTAACATGTGACAGCCACAACATACAGACCCCCCACCCCCCACTCTCCCAAACCCCTACTCTCTGTCACTCCCTAGTCACTGTTGGGGATCCTAATGCATTCTTCTTGGGTCTTTTTCTGCTGCTAGAGCCCACCATCATTTTTTCCTTTGGCGACCCTAAATAAATTAAAGGCTTTCATGTCTGATCATGTCACACCATCACATTAAGACTACACAAACAGTACAATTTTAAATCCATGAGGCTAAACTCCTGAGAATGTATTTGTTACTAGCCATAGTTGTATGACCCTGAGTCAAGTACATACCCTTCTGCTCTGACAGTTCCATATGCAAAGCTGGATTTATTAATGTAGTTACATAGCAAATTTGGGGTGAGAATTTAGTAGATAATATGAGCAAGTGCCTGTTTGCTCACTAATGCCCTTTTCAACTATTAGGAATCATTATTTGCATTAAAACATGTCTCTTTTAATTTATGGAATACCAATTGCTAACCAGCCTCATTTCAATTGCTGCTACTATTTTTTTTAGTGAGACAATAGTTACTATTAGCCTTGTCCAAAAGAGGAAAAGACCACAAAAACGGTGACAACGTAATTCAGAAATTAACCAGGTGTCTTCTGTCCTTTCCGCTTCACTACTTGCTTTCGGTGTAATACCAGTGTATGGCTCTTTCGTGATGTAAGAGTAATCTGTTATGCCTGTAGTGTGGGTTTCTCTTCCGATGACATTGACTGAGTTGTCTCTCTAGCTGCTGGAAGGTGGTGTTGTCATTGTTATAAGGCACTGGAGATCAAGAGGCTGTGTTCATTATTCATTATTCATGCGTATTATTCTTGGAAAGTTCTATGTAAGATGATTTTCCTCTGAATATCAAAAGACTGCCAATGTCATTTTGTCTGTGGCCACTATTACAAAAATAATGCTTCTGCCAAAATAACTATGTGTCTTCCATGTGCAGTGTTTTCATAATAGTGAAAATATTACAACACAACTTTTTCCCCTCACATTTGTCAATATCTCTGAAAATGCACTGCTTATTTGCAGACACTTGTATGTTATTAAGCATTTTTAAAAGTCACTGGTCTTAGAGAATCCGGTGCTTACTCTCACAAATAATGATTATCATGCCAGAAATGCAAATATTACATAGCAAATTCTTGGATTTTTGCTTTTTAGATCTAGACGAGGTATTTTTATTTTGTTCCTGAGACAGAATAGTATGAAATTCTTTGTATGGAAAGACAGCCCAGATCTTCTGATTTTCTTGCCTCTGCTTATAAGGTACCAGTCTCACAGGTATGCACCACCATATCAGAAAGCAAATTTAGTTCACGTACAGCCTCATAAAGCTCTGTAATCTCTGTGCTTCCTGCTGGACGATCAGAAGTAGAGACAAGAATATGCTCGGAAGCTCATGACCCACACTCTGTCTCAAACAAGATAGGGACATTTAAATAGTGAGAGAAATTCTAGTTTTATTAGCCTAAGTAAATTATTGAACTTGTGCTGGGAGTACATCTCAGTTGGTGAAGTTCTTGTTGTGAGAGCATGCAGACCTAAACTCTGGTCCCTAGACCTACATTCACACAAATGTTGCATACATCTGTAAACCCAGCACTGACAATATGGAGACCTATAGTCCCTGAGCTTGCTGGCCAGCCACATTAGCCAAATTGGTTAGCTCCAGGTTCAGTGTGAAACCCTGTCCCCAAAACTAACAACACAACTAAGGAAGACATGTGACATAATGTCTGACCTCTACATTTATGATTACACAAGCAAGCATCTTCAGGAATATGTGCACACGCATGCTAAAACAGATACATACATAAACAATACATGAAGGACAAAGTGCAATCTTTGAAAATACTGGTAATTTGTGTTGTATTTGTACTGACAGTGGTCCTGACGAATGCATTTTGAGTAAAATGTTGCTTCAACCTGAACGCTTATTGAACCTCTTTGGAAAGAGGAAACAAAATTCAGCATGGAGTCTTTCAAGATTCAATGGTGCCTAAAGAGTTAAATCCCAGCATGATGCCTGTGCTGTGTGCTTGGTTCATGTTTATCCAGTTAATGAATGGGAACCAATTCTTATCTGCTCTGTTCTTGCTGACTGTGATACATTTAAAAATGTCACTGTGTTTCTTACCACAGGAACTCATATTTAAACTAGACATGCACAGCTTGGAGTCTGGCAGGCTGAAATGTCCCTTTGATCCTCAGCAGCCTTTTGCTTCAGTAATGACAGGTAAGACCAGGGCAAACAAGTCTTAAGTCTAAGTGACTTTTGGAAAAGGCCTCTGTAGACTAAACCACATTTTCTAACTGAATTGAGGATAATTTTGGATTAGCCCTTCCCCACATGTCGGTGCCAGTCTCTCTATATGAACATCATCATCCGTGGAGTGAATGAGGTGACAGCATTCCTTCATGTCTGCACAGAGGCTTTTTAAACAAATGTCTGACTGAACTCACTCTAAGACAAATATCATTCTTCTTTGTTCCAAAAAACCTTCTACTTACCTGGGATTTTGCTAATACTCAGCTTTGACTTTTCTTTACTCAGGAAGGGTGTCACATATAGAAACACTTAAGTAGGGAAATGAATGAACAATGAAGCAAGATACAAAATACAGTTATATAACACCAAAGCATCTTTTCTCCCATATTTCTGTTAATGGAAATCTGAGAGGTTTCTCTCTCTCTCTCTCTCTCTCTCTCTCTCTCTCTCTCTCTCTCTCTCTCTCTCTCTCTCTCTCTCTCTCTCTCTCTCCTCACACCTGTAGCCCCATCTGGCTTTGTATTTATCTTAAATTCTCATAGAAGAGGCTGTCTGGCTGAAAGAAGGTAGTGCTGTGTTGTGACCTGAAGAGCATCAACAGGGTCTTGGAGTCATGAACATTATAAGTAAGCTTTTTTTTTTCTGGTTGGTTCATGACTCTAGTCTTTTCTTATTTAACTCATCTATTAAATATTTGACTAGATGATAAAAGGGAAGCATCATGACATTTTAATTTCCACATAGTGAGAACCAGGAACTTTGCTTTGATATGAGTGTGTGTTTTGAAATTATACACACCATGTTTGTTTCTTCTCAGTAGATGCCGTGGATGATTTTCATCTGTTAAACAATATAAAGGCACCATTAATAAAAATGAAACAAAAATCATAAGGATGTGGATGACCCTGCCTAGAAATCCCTGTATAACTCTAAAAATAAACATGACAGCTTTTAATCCTGGATACTGAGATCAGAATTATGGCTAAAACACACGTTGTCTGACAACTCATTGACATACAGTCTAATAAATTTCAAAGGCTTCCTTTTCATTTAGTTTCCTCTTAAGCTTTTTATTGATGTTATCACTTGTTCCTCTGTGTTTTAAGGTTTTAACTCAGTAAAAATTGGCATGTATCTGATATATTAGCAAGGTGTCTTTCAATGGTGGAGATGGCATGCTACCTGCACCAACCTTATGTCACAGGGTTCCATCATTTCACATACAGTCTTTTGAAGATCATGCTTCCAAAAATAACTTACACTTCAATGAAGATATTGTTTTTGTCCACTACATAGTTATGTAAGAAGTTTGAATGATCTATGCAGATTAGCCAATTTGACTTTATGTTTTTGAGTGTAACCCAAAGAAGCTTCCTGTGGAAGTCTCTTGAAGTAGCAGGGTTTTAGCTCTCCAAAGTACCACATATCATGCTGCAGGGACAGCCTCCTTCCTGACTGCTCCCCAGTGCTCTGACAAGCAGTACAACAGAGGACATTGCTCCCAAACCAGTTCACATTTGCCCCTCCTTGTCTCTTTCCCTAGACTCCTGCTCTTTCTTCTTCTACTCCTGTGTTTCTGCCTCTGCTCTCTCCTCCTCCTCACTTTCTGCAGCTTCTCCCCGATTCCAGCTCCCACTCTCTCCTTTCTCCTCTCCCCTCTCTTCCTCTAGTCTCTATTATTCCTCCTTCTCTCCTCGATGAAGCCTTCACTTCATTTGGTATAGGACCAAAAGTTTAGGATGCAGCAAGAGCACAATCTTCCCCTTGTTTATCAGCGCTTTGCAGACATGGTCATCTCAAGGAATGCAACATGTTATAATTACAAGGAATGACGTCAGTGTTGAAACCTCCTTTTCAGCAGGGGCTGGACAAAGAGAAGCTGTGGTCACTGAGGTTGTGTCGGTTAAGTAAAATACTAATTGAGCCATCCGTTCTCATTTAACATTTAATTTTCAGTATTGTGACAGTTGCTACGAAATCAAACTCCTAGTTGCGATTTCCCACTGCTTACTGCAGATAAATGTCAAAGAAGAGTATATCCAAAAAAAGTTGATGAGGTGAAATCAGAATTCTTGGCCTTTAGGAAATCCTGCTTTCTAGCCTCAGTTAATTGGGTTACTTCTCCACCTAAGCTAATTCTTCAAAACGGGAAAAAATATGTGTGTATGAAGCACACGTTCTAGTGTTAAGCAGTCCACATGCTGGGAGTTGTAAGGACCTCTCCTTCTGTCACCTTAGCTGTGCTGTTTGCTTTGCTCCTTGCAGATGAGTACCTCTACTCTGGAACAGCTTCTGATTTCCTTGGCAAAGACACTGCCTTCACCAGGTCCCTTGGGCTGACACACGACCCCCATTACATCAGAACTGATATTTCCGAACACTACTGGCTCAATGGTTAGTGATGTTTCTCTTCTGTTTATTTTGTCTTTGCTGTAAGAAAACTAAGGAGCTTATTATTATGCATTCAGATGTGCTTGGGGAGAGTTGAGATTTTACAACATTTAAAAATACATTTGAAAGGATTTCACATTGAATTAGACAAATCTCCAGAAAAATGTGTGTGTGTGTGTGTGTGTGTGTGTGTGTGTGTGTGTGTGTATAGCTGATATTTATTGTGTGCTACATCTTTGGCACTCTTTGCGCTATAATAAGTGTGTTACTTTGTAAAAGTTCACAATGACATTTGAGACATTATCACTTTAACACTTTATTTTTAAAGATGAGTAAAGTGTAGATGTGATGACTTGAGTGATTTGATCACAGTCTCACAGCAGAGCTGGGCTTTGTATGGGCAACCTCAGTTCTATGTTTTAATTACCAAGCTTATTAGCCTAATGGAAAGTAAATATACAGCAATGCTAACTTCTTTGTTGCATTCTAATTATCATGTAAAATGCTATATGTTCTAATAACACACTATATATAGATCAAAGTAGTTAGCATGCTCCATTTCTTATCATGTGCTATCATACATAAATTTAATAGCTTAATGCTTGCTTCTGCTGCTAAAATTTATGTTTGGGTTTTGAAATAGCACTGCAAGATTTTAAAATACTGATCATGATATTGTTTTGCTGAAGTATTATTGTATTTAAATTTTATGTGGCATTTGTGGTTTTAAAAGCAGGAAAAAATCCCTAAAGAATTTATGCGGTTACTTCAATGATTAATACTATTTCACCCACTGTCTTACTTTATTCAATTTACTGGGAGAAATAACACACAATTTCATTTCAACAGTCAGATCGCATTTACCACTGACACCAAAATTAGTGAAGTTAGCAGAGGAGAACAAGAGAGGCTTCCACTATCTTCCTATCTCTGAGTGACTTTTGAACAGTGACAACATAAACAAAAGAAAAGATGCTTTTAAAACATTCCTTTCCTCAAAACCTGTAAATCAGTTTGTTTACATAGTAAAGTGATTTCCAAAGTAGCCAAAAAAGAAAATCCTCCTAAAAGTTAATGGGTTTTGGAATTACTTGATTTGAGAGCAACTTCATGGACTGCCTCTTTGACACCTGCTTAGATAAATATTCTCAGGGTTAAAAAACAAAGGGTAAACGCCAGAGCATGGTGATGCATGCCTTTAATCCCAACACTTGGGAGGGAGAGGAAGGTGGATCTCTGTGAGTTCGAGACCAGCCTAGTCTACAAGAGCTAGTTCCAGAACTGCCTCCAAAGCCACAGAGAAACTCTATCTCGGAAGAAAAAAAAGGGGTAAAATTGTATCATTCTATTCAGAAATGGCAAATATCCTCAGAGAGTCTGTCAGGAGAAAGTCTTGTCATTCTTCATCATAACATGTCCATAATGAAAGTCTATGTATGCAATTTTTATTTGTCTGGAATGCTATTTTTATTGCTATTTGAATAGAAATACAAAATGGACACCTTTCCAATGGCCTGGCACTTCCCTCAATAAACAACTTCGAAGTCTTTTGCGCACAGAGTGCTATTCCATCCAACAGACCTAGGTATAGGCAGAAGAAGGTGGTTGACCCCGGGGACAAGGAATGTGTGCTAAGCATGGAGTGTCAGGTAGTGAACACGGAGGTGAATCATTCTCATGAATTTGAGCAAAGTTATTGATAATTTTCTCTTTAATCAGGGGAAGTGTGTATGTGTGTTTCTTTCAACATTATTCAGCAATACACTGAAGAACAAAAGGCAGTATTACAGATAGGTGAAGAAGACCATGGTGAGAATGAATACAAATGAGTGAGAGGAAACAGAAAAAATGTAGCAATAGTTAGGAGGCCATGAAAATCTGCTGCAAAGAATATGTAGGAGGGGCGATATTCGTTTGTGACAAAGTAATTCCAAAGCACTTAGGCTTCATTTAAGGCAGAAACCAAAGAGATAAAGCGGTGGGGATAGTAGAAGAGATGCATGGTAGACTTTTCAGTGGAACAAATTTAGCTAAATTATTAATAATTCGGAAAGTTAACACTCATGAATAAAGTCAATCTAGACAATATTTACTGGTTAATAATCAAAGTGACCAAAAAGATATGGTTTTCAGACACTTCAGTCATTATCGCATTCTTCAACTGTGTCAACTTATATACCCACAAAAATACACAAACAAGTCTGTTTTATTTTTGAACACAAGTATGTACTCTTCAGTCTTGATTATCACTTATCCACATGCTGGTGTGTAAGCTTACCACCACAGGTGTCATTATTGCTGAAAGTAGGAGAAAGAAGTAGGAGGAAGGACAGAAGGCCTATACGTTCTGTACGTTTCCCCATGGCTCTTCAACATTTAAACTATTCACTACTTTTTCCTTCTTTCTCTTTTTTTCCATTGAGCTTACCCTGCTTGGTGATCTCCACTGTAATATATGCTGTTTCCTGGAACTGTGACTCAATTAGTCTCCTTTAAGTGGTGTAAAGAGAGGCTTTTTCCTTGAGAGGAGCCTTCTCGTCAGCCTGGTTCTAGAGCCGCAATAGTCCCAAATAAACACACGGGAGGCTATATTAATTATGAAGCTGTTGGCCTTGCTTGTTTCTTACTGGCTAGCTCTGACTTAAGTAATTACCCTATAATTGTTAATCTAAGTATGTTTTTACCGGAGAATAGTTCCAGGCTTCCTACCCCATGGCGTTACATGTCGACTCTCTTGTGTTTCTCCTTCCCAGAATCCTCCTGGACTCGTAGTCCCACCTATCTAGATTCCTATTGGCTCAACAGTGCTTTATTGACAAAGGACTTCCCCAACAAAGTGGCATTAAAATATTTATAAGTTTGAATTCCATTCTTATATTAGACATTATTGTTTTATAGAAAAATAATATCAAACCGAGGCATCATACAACTAGTTTTCTGTATTAACTAATTTTGTTAGTGCTACAACAAAACACCCTACAAAAGTAATGTAAGGAAGGAAGAGTTTCTTGGGTCTCACAGTTCAAAGGAGTCATGCACACCTGTAGGTCAGTGATGGCATCGGGAACTTGAGGCTGTTGCTCACACTGCATCTGCAGTCAGGAAGCATCAAGAGATGAATGCTGTTGTTGGCTCCTTTGTTCCATTTTATTGCGTCTTGGAGAGTAGTCCAAGGAATGAGGTCACTCACTTTTAAATGGATTGTTCCACTTCAGTTACCCAAATCTGTAAAACTCTCACAGACAGGCTTTTGTGCATGGTGATAATTCATCCCACTAAGACTACAACACAAAGTGGCCATCATACTCACTCTGGGATTTGGTTCTTTAATGGCCTTTCCCTTTAGTTCATCTAAAAGTCTGTGAGTAAGTTTTTGATATATTGCTTTGCAGTTGAGCTGCCCCTCAGTGCCAGTTTCCTGATGTTATGTGAGTTCTCTGAGCTTCCTCCACCTGTTTACCTTATATTTGTCTTTGATCCCTTCCTCCCCTTCAGCTACTCTGTCTAATCATCAAGAAGCACCTCCAATTCCTTCAAAGCTACCGTTGACCTTGCTCTTCCTATAGTCACCAGCCTCCAGAATCCTCATTGCCTCATAGAGATTTTATTGCCCCCATTTGATTGTTTGCTAATTTTCCTCACTTTCATCTCTCTCTTTACATTTTTTTTAATGTAACATACATGGTAGACATGATCTTGGGCACCTCGACAGTGTAATTCTGTTTAATGACACTATCTTGATAAAATTACTATTTGCTTGTTACTTTCAGGGCATTACTAGAAGCCAGATACTTAGATACTTAAGTAGAAAGTTAAAGTACAGTGGAAGCTAAAATACATCTGTCCAGCTCTGAATGCTCACCTGTTTCCAGGGTATGTGATACAGTCTTGACGATACAGGCATGGTCTTCGTATTCTGGCCCCATGTAATGCTCCATATGGGGCTAAAGCAAACCAAGGATGTGGATCTGCTAGCAAATGTGGAAACTGACAGAGAAAATGTGTTTATCTCAGAAGTGGGGGAGGCCTCGGCAGTCTGAGCAGAACTGTGTAAGTGTGAGCAGCAGGTCAGACATTTGCGGAGGGAGGGAAAACAGAGTGAAAGTGGCCCACTGTTTCTAGAAACCCATTCAGTACTCCTTGGTCCATGAAAATAAGGTCAGAGCAAAGGAAGAAATTATAGAAACTATGTAACATTCCCATGATGAGGAGTGAACTGATGAATGAAGGCAAAATATTGGCTTTGTCAGAGAGCATTTCTATTCTGTATCATGAGAAATGGCCATTTTGTACTCACGTTCAGAACATGGCCCAAAGACAAAAGCTAGTGAGATTTTTTTCTGGCTGAGTTAAGAGTTTTAAAGATCAGAACACAGATGAACTGTTCTAACTGATGGGAATGGATGTTGATTTAGAATCTATTTTTTAAACCTTATCCTTCACAAATTGAGATGGAGTGGGACATTGACTGCCTTTTTGTAGTAGTTATGAGAATGAAAACCGTTTCTGAATTAACTCTGGATCTGGCACAGAATGGGTAGAGACATGGGCTTCTCTGTCTAAGATTCAGGCACCAAGTATGATAAACACTGACCACCAAGAAAGATTTAAGTTTAAAGTAGCACTTACAAAACGCAAACAGAGCTGGGCATGAGCCGCAGAAGTAGTACATCCTTCTCCATACACAGTAGTCTAGACTCAATTCCTGGCACTAATAAATTTGCCTCCTTATTTTTTTCTAACCGTTTATCAGCAATTCAGTGGCCATATCAGCTGGAGGACAACATCATTTTGAAGGGTAAAGATATAAAAGTTTCATTCGGTACAGTAATATATAGATATGTCTGATTTAAATTATTGTTGCTTATTAACACATGTATAATATCCTACAATTACACATTGCAATGTATTTATGAATTTTCTTCATTATTTGCATTGTATATTGATAAGAAACTTGCTGCTGAGGTTCACAAGGCTTTAATGGGTTGGAAAAAGTGATGGAT